TATCCTTCCTCCACTCGTCGCTTTCATCGGATAAGCAAGCTGCTTATATAAAAGAAATGTCGCGTTCATTCTCACTTGCCTGTCTCTTAATTCTAAGAAGCTAGGAAAATTGAAGAGTTTGTTTCGTTATAACAATCAAAATTTTTGAATGGGTTGAAGTTTGAAAAAGAAATGGCGTAACGACGATTGGATTCGGATCAGTGTAGCTCCTCGTTCACTTTCGACTATCTTCATCTTAGAATCTTTTCAGACTCGTTTTTATCTCGCTTATCTCAATTTTGTCCTTGAACAGGAATAACCAAAATGGGCCAAACTTTCCAAAATGAGGGAGAATTAGGTTAATCTGGCGATAGAAAGAGAGTGTCGAAGCGGAGATGTATCGTTCGAATCGTTCCAAATCATCTGATAACATCCGCATAATTACGTAATCTCGCCCTTTTGTGGCGGCCAGCTCGACGAGGCTGGCCGAAGGTTTCTCGTCTGGCTGTCTTCCACTCGAATGGGCTCCTCGTGCTCGGTCGGGCGGGAGGAATAACCGTCCAACCAGCGGCGACAAGTCCAGAGAAAACAGATTCAAAAGCCGTTCCAGCCTGTGATTCTTGTTTAGGGGGCAGCCATCTTTTCGTATAATCGGGTTACGACCGAGTTCTTCCCCCCTTCTTTGCAATTTTATGCGATGTTTGTCGACGTTCGACGAACGATATATTCTTCGTATTCGGGGGTCGAATTTCGATTTGTTTTTCGCCGAAATCTTTCGTTTCGGCTGAATGAATACTTGGAAAAAGGGCAAATGTTTTATATATTTCGAATCACGGCGTGTATTCACTTCGCTTTAATGGGGGATTTCACTCGTAAATTGCGGAACAGTCGGCAATAAAAACGAGATCGAGTAGTAAAAAGAGCGAGCTGAAACGGATCGCTAAGTTTCTTTCTGGGTGGAAAGAATACGTCTAATTTCGTTGGGATAATAAAAGATGTAGCCGTCAACGAGAGATATCATGGAACGGGGTAGTTGGACGAGGGAAGTCGCAGTTGATGGAAATGAAAACGATAAGGGTTGGTTCATGGTGGTAATAAAAAAAAAATATTTCACTCGAGCATTCAAAGAACGAAAAAAAGGTGGAAGATGATTTATGAGTGTCATTAATCTTTTGATCATTATAAAGTATTCATTATTATTTTTTTTTTTAACAAAAAATAATTGAAGAAAGTAGAATGATTTATTATGTTGTACAAAATTGGATAATTATTTTTGTGATTATTTTAGAAGAGAATTTTCATATATTTCATAATAGATTTGATCATTTTTTTTTTCTTATTTAATTTCTGTATATATAATATAATGCATTATTTTGTTTTTATATTTATAAATATATTTCTTAAATTAAGATATGACGCAGAACTCTGGTATTTTAATTTTCTTGACAGAATTATATCCTTATTTATAATTCAAAATTAATTTCAGAATCTTCAAATTTTCAAATTTCAAAATTTCCAATTTTCGCAATTTCGAAGTTCCAAATTTTACTTCTTAAAAAAAAAAAAAAGAAACGAGTTAAACAATCAACGAGAGATTTCGTGTGTGTTATTTTCGAAAAACAATTTGTACACGATTGGCACGATTGTGCCCGTAGTGTGCATTCGAGGTGGGGAGGGTAGCGACCTGTGAAATTCGACCATCTAATTTAATTTACCCCATGCAATTTTTCGATCATCCGTGAACCCCCTGGGGAATACACTGTCGCATCGTGAAACAACCGCGTGGAACGCGCTTCATCCTCTGGCCAACGTTTAAAAAGAGCCACGGATAATCCCTGTGAACTCGTGCAAAATATCCATACGGATCCCAATTATCTGAAATCGTTTAAAGTTTTTTCATTTTTATCATTCGTCGATAAATTAGCAATCGATGTAATCGATCGATGACTTTAATCGAAAGAAAAAAACGAAATCGTCAATGAAAATTTGTTAAATGAGTGAAAAACACCTGTCTTGCCAGGCATTGATATTATTCGACGGATCACGAGATTAATTTCAAATTATACGATTATACATTCGAATTTTCAATTAGTTATATTTATCCTTTTAATATTTTCCAACAAAAAAATAAAAAACACCAATTCCTTTTCCTCAATTCTTTCCAACAATCTTTCAAGAAACATCAAAAGAATATTTGTTCGAACAATCGAATTTTAATCAGAAATTCGAAATTCCGATTCGTAGTCAAGGAACTGCAAATCGACCAATCGTGCAAACTGTTTTACCGGTCAAGCCTATCGTTAATGTCGGCCACAGGAAAAACGAGATCTATCTGGATCAAGTGCTCTTGTACCAGAGTGATTTATTATACGCGTCAATCTTCGAATAACTTCGAAGTAACCCCGTTTCCAAACGCAAACTGCCTTCAACCTCCTCCTTTCGACAATCACGCCACTTCTTCGAGGCGTGATATTCAGACGATCGAATCACGACCGAAAGAGAAAGAGAGAAAGAGAGATTCATCGATCTTTTCGCGGTCGATCATAACCTTGTGCTCGAGAAATTCAATTCGAGGGGAAAATTATTATTGAGTTTTTCAAAGATGAAAAGAAAAATTGTTTATATATTTTTTAAATTTTAGAAACTTTTGAATCGAATACCTTTTTGTCTACAATTTTTATTTTACATTTGTTGTTGGGAAGTCTTAGTTTTAGAAATTCTTTTATGTTTTTATTGTCTGAATTTGTTGTCCTTTTAATTTTTGAAATTTTTCTTTATCTTATCTTATTATTTTCATTTTAAAAATCTTTAATTGTCATGTAATTCAGAATTTGTGATATAATGAAATGCACGTGTATGCACCAATCGAAATATACTCAAATACGCTAGGATAGTTTAATTATTTCCGTTATTAATAATGGAATACAATACGCGGGGAACGAAGATAAAATTTTCGATTAAAAGTCGATTCTATCATACGAATTAAAAATTGATTCTGGCTATCGAATGTCCAACTATCGAGTTTCATAAGCGAAGCTTTAATCACTGAAGTAATTAAACCAGCAACGAGAGGGTTAAATTAATTATTCATGACCTCGGTCAAACAGTCTTGATTGACCAATCTATTTGATATTTTATACGCGTTCCATTTTCTTCTTCTCCCTTATAACTGAAATGATAAATTTCGACAAAATTAGGTTAAAAGAAAAACATTATTATTTAATTTAATCTTTCCTTTGAAAATGTTTTACAATATGTAAAAAATCCATGAAATAATTTAAAATACTATAAACAACAATTCTTAAATTATTCATTTAAAAAAAAACTCTTTAAAACACTTTGATATTTTTATCAAAAATTCATAGAATTTACAAAAAATTTTTTCCATTTTTAAGACTCTAACACGTTTCCCCTTCTCCCATAAAAGGGATCGTCAAACTGTTCGAGCAAATCACGCAAGAGGGGCGATAACGAAACGATTTCCATCGAGTTTTCGAAAAAGTTTGGATATTATATAACCGAAAGTTCGACGAGAATCGAGTTATTGTATCGAGAGACGAACCGGTGAACTTGTCCCGTTATTTATTTCGCTTCGATTCCTGCTTTTATACCCTTTTCTTGATTTATGGGCCAAACGTTTCCTTATTTTTCCACTAACGTCGGCTGCGCCGTCAGTAGCACCGACGTGATGATCCGTGTTACTTTGAAAAATCCTATTCTCCTCCTCCACAAGTGATGGCACGATTTGAAGCTAATGTGCAAAGTAAAATGATTCTTCGTGATTCGATTATATAAATAGATACTTTTTCCTTGCTATATTTTATCTTATTCTGTTTTATTTTTATTAGATTTTCATTTGATAGATATTACTTAGGATTGATGGGTTTGTCAAAATATTCGTTAAAAAATGTATTTTATAAAAATGATACGATGATATTTTAGTTATTTTATGAGCGATATGCAAGCAATTTTTTTTGTACGGGAATAAAAGTATTTGGAGCAGAAATAGTTTGTTTCACGGTTATCTTGGCAAAAGAGGAAAAAATAGAAAGAGTACAAAGTTTGTAATATTAAAACTTTTAAAGCAGATGTAATTATTGAATTGATCGATTATTTCTATATTTTTCAAAAATATTATTTCAAACCATTCAAAAATTGCTGTTGCCAAAAATATACTTCTTCATAGTTCGCTCGATCGCCACTCGGCAGCGCCACTTACGACGTCGTCCATGTTTGCCTCTTATCACCCCAAAAATCTTCATTTTACATACTCGTCGCGACATCTAACGTAGTCTCTTGTCGCGCAACTTCGAAAGACATTATACTTCAGAGGATATTACGTTTGAAAAGCTGTCGACTAAAAAGCTCGACGTCCGTTAAAAGGCACATCGAATCAGTCGCTTTCCAGCTGAAATTTCCGGCCTCTTTAAACGATATATATATATATATATCACGAGTCCATAAACTCTTTTCGATGTTTCTTCCATATTCGATGTGTGTCTCACTTTGGTCGAAATCGTGGCTTCTTTGAGGCTCCATTATTTAACGATCCTCTGATCTTTCCTCTGCAAGAACCATGGATAAGAAATGGACGAGTCGAACGCTTTTAGAACGAAAATATATTTTGCTCCGCGTAGTGCATTCCCTTTTCTTTCTTCAAAAGGAGAAATTCTTGAATGAAATTTCGAAGATAGATCGTCAAACGATACTCCGATAGAAAGTATTATATATCCCACAAATCGATTGAATCATACTATGAATCATAATTGGACAAATAATAAAATCGATCTTCTCGAAAGAAGAATTTTTTAAATTAAATTTATGCAACTATTTACATTATTATGCACTCGTATATCGTATCATTATTTTTACTCGAGATGGAAGTTGTTCCAGCGAAACTTCGAACGTATCCATCGATCAGTTTTCACGCTCGTGTGCCTATAAAAGTCGACGATTTTTTTTTTTTAATCTTATTCGTTATTTTCTTTTAATAAACTGTTCCTTCCTTCTATCGGTTCCAGCTCGCATGGAGGAAGAAAGGGATGCAACCAACGCTCAGATTCTTTGGTCAGCTTGCACAGCCTTGGCACGCGCTATTAAATCAGGGCCACCAGGCGCGCCCATTGAGAAAATCGTCAGGCCCCTGGAATCGGAAATCAAGGCCGTGTGTAAGGCAGCCCGTAAGTGTATCCAATTTAAATTCAATTTGTTAGATAACGATTATCTTGTATTTTATATTAAATATCTTCTAAGTTTCAAATAACAATTTTAATACAAAGTTGTGGAAGTTATATCACAGATAAATAAATAAATTAATTTGTGATTGCATTAAAAATTTATTTGGATTTTAAACCAGAGGAAAGGAAAGATAATAGAAAATTGATAAGAGAAGAGAAGAAATTTGATTTTTCGTTGAATTTTGCTTTAATTATAATGGCTAATTATATCGTTACAATTCACGCGAGATACAATATTTTATATTTTTATGGATTATCATTGCATAATAATACATGGAACATCGTTGCTTTGCGATAGCTCGGATTCGAACGAATATTATTATCCTTTTGCATTCTTGTTAAAGCGGAATTAAAATGTTGAAACTGATAATTGGGACAATTAAAGTATTATCGAGGTATTATCAATTTAAATGGTAATTATTTTACAAGATCGTAATTCTATTTATACTCGACAATTGATTACAAAAATATTGGATCAAGTTACGAATTTATTACATTTAATAATAAATAATGTATTGTTCTTATATTCGTTCATTAATCAAATTATTTGAAACTATTTTATTAAACCTTTTATCCAAGTTATTTAATTTATCTGAAGTAATCTTTTGAAATATTTATCCTTATTTTCACTCGTTAATTAACTTGAAATTACCTGTATTATGTATAAACAATTTCATTTATTTACTTTACTTAAAAAATTTTCTTCAAATCAATGAAATTTTACAACGTAATGGTAATCCTCCTCCTTCTATATTTATATCAAGCGAATAAAATCAACTCTCAATGATTATAGAAATATTTTCAAAAAAAAAAAAAAGGAGAATTATTTCATACATGTTGTACATATTTTCATTTCAAAATTAGTATGCAAAAACGTGTGCTACTTGTATATTACTCGTTCAACCCTTTCTTTTCCTAACACAGAAAGCACAAGTTTTAGCAATTCTATCCATAAATTGGGCGAAACAACAGCAATGCAAGTCTCGTTCATTCCCATTCGATAATTCTTTCCCCTTTAAAAAAACAGAACACGTTCCAAGAAACAACGAAGGGTCGCATTAATATTTCCACTCGCACGACGATTATATTTTTCTATATTTTATCGTCGTGTTTGAAACGCCGGTTGAAAAATCGTATCTTTTTAATTTCGCGTCCTGAAGGGTGGAAAAGGGGTGGAAGATTTACGACTTAATCGAGGGTGAAACGCAGGCATAAACGCTTTGCTCGGTTCGCGTTCCACGTGTTGGTCGCATTAATTATGTGATCGGTTAATTGCGAAAGACATATGATGGATCATTTATCATTCTTTATTCAACGTTTTTTTTTTTTTTTGTTTTAGGACGAAAAAATTCGAATCGTTTAGGTATTACATTGTATAATAGTTTTTAAGAGATCAATCAATATTGTGTAATGGCGTGTAAAGGAATTTTTTTAATTGGTTATTACTACATTTGGTTTGATATAATATTTTATAATTGTAGCGTACGTTGGATATGATTATTAGTTTTGGTTTGGAGAAAATTATTGATTTTTTTTTTTTTGTAGAAAAAAATGTGACAAAAAAGGATTTGTCTTAAATAATAAGTTGTAACAATTATAAATTATAGAATTAACAAATTGAATTAGAATTTTGTAAAATTTGATACAATTAATTTTTTTAATATACTTCAAATGTATCGTAATAATTTTTAACTTTTTTAAATTATATTTGAAATTAATACCAATAATAATAGAAAATAGTTGCACGGATTTTATATTTTTCTTTTCATAAAAATAATAATTGAACTTTAATCTCTGAGGTACCGAGAAGATTGAAATTTTAATGTTTTACCTTATTTTGTTATTTTATTTATTTTTTTCTTAATTGGAAATTTTAATCGAGGTTATTTCATTGAAAAGTTAGAAAGGATGGATTGAGATGGAGTTTGGGATGAATTGTTGAGCATTATTGGGAATAAATTGTGCAGAAATTTTGACGGGTTTTATTTGCACGTGCACTTTAGTAAATTGATTCTGATAGCAATTCTGGATTAAAAATTGTATATTCCTTTCATTTTATTTATTTATTTTGTTTTATTATTTTTTTTTTATTCAATGGACTTATTATTCAATGAACAATTTGTAATGGAAAACAAAAATTTATACATAATTATATTACTGTGAAAGGAGATAAAAATTGCTGATTTAATATCGTGATTAATTTTCCTCTTTCAATGAAATTCTAATTCTGGGTTTAAGTGATAAATTAATAACGATTAGTCATTAATGAAAATTAATTTCTCCATACTAATTTCGATGTATATTTTCAACTATTAATCAATTTCATTTAAAAAATTATTAAAATAGAATCGCATTGAAATTAGTAAAAAAAAAAAAAAATTTATTTGACTAACCAATAATTATTCCAAGAATTATGATATTTTAAACGCTCGTAAATCAAAATTACAATAAAATATCCAATGAACGCGTATTTTTCGAAATTACCCACAAAATTTCCAAATTTGACAATCTCACGAGTCATAAATTTGTCACGAATATATTACCAGACATTCGAACGCAGTCCACGAAGATTTATGCAATGATTAAACGTCCACGCGAAATAATAACGCGTTAAAATTACCATGAAAATCGTCCGAAACCTCTGATCCCGCCATTTCCACTCTGTTATCGTCGGCGATTAACCAGCAATTATTATCCGAGATATTATTTTAACATTCGAGACGATAAAATTGAATTTCAGCCTCGAAACTTGCCCCTTATTTTGTTCTCATTTTCTTTTATTTTGATTTCTGTTTTTTTTTAATATCTCTCTCTCTCTCTCTCTCTCTCTTCTT